TCTGGCTCCTGTGACCGGGGCCTCAGTTTCTCAGAATGCTAAACCCTTCCCTCATTTTGTGTGGGGAAACACATCGGGATGTTTAAAACATTCTTACACAGAAACCGATGGACTTGATTTTGGGGACACCAACTGCCTCTACATTTACCAGGGTTCAGACCACAACTGGTGTGATCCAGAAGTCTTTTTTTCCTGTTCGCAGCACATACTTACATATTGATCTCTTTTCCATCCCAACAGCTACTAGAGAAGCCCCTAGTGAAAAAGGTGGAATTCGAACCTGACGCAGTCAGCATCTACCTGGATGAGGTGAGGGCCACACAGGTCTCTGCCATCTCGACTAAAACTGGGGTCTGGGACAAGGACATTCATTCAGCAGAACGGTCCCCGTGGGGGAATGAGGAGTATTGAAGAGAGGATGTGGTTTGTGAGTTGCTGACTACAGAAAGGGGACCAGAGGATCCTGGCTGAAAAATTTCCCCGCTCTGACAAAGAGTATCAGACGAAGGGAGTTTTGACTCTCAAAAGCTTATATCTTGAGATGATGTTAGGGTGCATTCAGACAGGCAGCTAATCTCATCATTATGCCAGTTTGGATTTTATCCTGCTCTTTTTAATCCATCGTATATTATTTTTATTTATTTTATTTATTAAATTTCCACCCCACCCTCCTGCCGAAGCAGCTCAGGGCAGCTTACAAACAGTTTAAAACCAACATACAATTTAAAACCAGCAAATACAAGATATAAAATACAATTCCATACAATTCCAATAAATACAATGAAGCTAAATAAATACAGTAGCATCCTGTAATGTGACCCAACTGGTGCAGTCAGTTCTTATTGGAATGCTTGGCGAAACAGCTCCGTTTTCACGGCTCTACGGAACTGCTGGAGGTCCCATAGAGCTCTAATCTCATTGGGGAGCTCATTCCACAGCATTGGCGTTGCCAGGGAGAATGCCCTGGTCCTAGGTACCGCCACCTGGTGTCCCTAGGCCCGGGGGGGGGCAGGCGGTGGTGTGTTCCAGACCGCAGTGCTCTCAGGGGAATGTATGGGGAAAGGCGGTCCCTCTGTTGTGGATTGTCTAGATGACGTCCACTATAGAAGGCATGCGCAGTGGGGTTTTTTTTAAAAAACTTTTTGTGCATGCGCATAGGCGTCACAGTGCATTCTTGTTGAAGGAGGCGCGTGGTGGGTTTTTTAAAAAAACTTTTTGCGCATGCGCACAGACGTCCTTGTTGATCCGCGCATGTGTACAGATTTTTTTAAATGGTGCTCGCTCGGGATGGTCTGACGTCAGACCACCCCGAATGGGAGGATTGTGCGCTGGTGGAACAATCAGACGGGTGAAAGTCCACAGTTGTCCCGCAGGTAACCGAAAACCCCAGATTTAAAGTGCTATCTTTTAAGTACGGCTCCAAAGCGCGGCAAAATGGGATGTCCATGGAAGAGGGACATTTCCCAGATGTTTGTGTCTGGACATTACCTTTAGATCCGTGAGGCAATTGTGCCTAGCGTGGATCTGAAGAGCCGTCTGATCGGACTCATAGTTTCTAAGACTGGACTTGAACCTAGCTGTCTCTCCCCCCCCCCCCCGCCGCCCTGTTTCTCTCCCTCTTCAGCTGGATAGTGACGAGCAACACTACAGCTTCTCGGTGGAACAAGAATTCGATGTGAAAGACCTGAAGCCAGTGACGGTCAAGGTCTACGATTACTACCACCCAGGTCAGTGTCTCGCTGGTGGAACGGCCTCACTGATCACCACCCGTTTGCACACAGCCCTGCTGATGCCTCCTGAAGTCCTCTTTTGCACCTCCCGCCCCTTTGCGATCAGTTCCTCACAGAGCTCTGCCGCGGGCCATAAGATCTCTTTTATTCTGATCATTCTGAGCTTGTTTTGTGAATAGCAGTGCCGTCTGGATGGGTTCGAAGAGGCCATTGGTCACAACCGAGTCGCATTGTGTGTGTGTGTGAGGGGCAATCCCTGCCTGACCCTTCAATGTCAATTTAACTCGTTCAGTGCTGTTCATATGCGTGCCGAAAGGACTTCCCTGGGAAGCAATCCCTGTCCCAAATATTGTAGAGACAGACAGCTTGCCCCTCCCACCATATTATCAACTCCCCCCACTCCCAATAAAAAAATGGTTGGTTTCAGGGGTAATTTCATAGAAAAAGAGGTGCAGGAGCTCATTAGCATAACTCATTAGCATAACTCATTTGCATATGCCACACCCCCTGACATCACCGGAAGTGTGTCAGAAGGCAACACCCACCACTCAGGCTCCACTGGACTGTTTTGGATTGCTAGCTATTGGGGGGGGGAA